GCGTGTTCCGAGCGCGTGCGTAGTTCACGCTCGTGTGTAGGTGACGGTGTGTTCCGAGCGCGTGTGTAGTTCATGCTCGTGTGTAGGTGATGGCGTGTTCCGAGAGCGTGTGTAGTTCACGCTCGTGTGTAGGTGACGGCATGTTCGAGCACGTGTGTAGTTCACGCTCGCGTGTAGGTGACGGCGTGTTCCCAGCGTGTGTGTTCACGCTCGCGTGTAGGTGACAGCATGTTCTCAGCACGTGTGTAGTTCACACTCGCATGTAGGTGACAGCATGTTCTGAGCACGTGTGTAGTTCACGCTCGCATGTAGGTGACGGCGTGTTCCCAGCGTGTGTGTAGTTCACGCTCGCGTGTAGGTGACAGCGTGTTCTCAGCACGTGTAGGTGACAGCGTGTTCTCAGCACGTGCGTAGTTCATGCTCGCATGTAGGTGACGGCGTTTTCCCAGTGCGTGTGTAGTTCACGCTCTCGTGTAGGTGACAGCATGTTCCCAGCGTGTGTGTAGTTCACACTTGTGTGTAGGTGACGGCATGTTCCGAGCACGTGTGTAGTTCACACTCGCGTGTAGGTGATGGCGTGTTCCCAGCGTGTGTGTAGTTCACGCTCGCGTGTAGGTGACGGCGTGTTCTCAGCACGTGTGTGTAGTTCACGCTCGCGTGTAGGTGACGGCGTGTTCCCAGCGTGTGTGTAGTTCACGCTCGCATGTAGGTGACGGCGTGTTCCCAGCACGTGTGTAGTTCATGCTCATGTGTAATGACTTTTGGATTCACAGTTGAGGGCCTGTGAGGAAAAATTGTAAGTCTTACTTCCCCTCTTAGGACATTCCTAACAATTGTGGATACTGGGGCTTGTATTCCGTAAGGAACTGATGTTCCTGTGAGCTCAGCTCCTCCAAACCTCCACTTCGCCACTTGATTAAGAAAAATGCCCATTACATGCTTACAAATTTAGGATTGTTTGATGGTCAGAGAGAAGTTGGACCAAGATTTTGAAAAACCACCGAGGACTGGAAATGACCTAAGGGGAGGAAGTCGTGTATGGGTGGGCCGCTTTAGCTCT